ATTTATCTATGAAATTATTAGTTGCATCCCTTATATAATGTCACTTTGATTAAACTTTATCTTTCTAGTTTCAATGAATTAACACAGATTCTGGTAGATTCACTTCAAAACATCTAAAAGTAATAATTTAGATTTGTTTTGCATATGGATTTCTTTGGCTGATATTGGCTCAGATTAGTTGCGTAATTTTTTAACATGGTTACCAGAAGCGAAACAGGTTGGACTGACCAAATTATATTGTTTCATGTGTTGTAAGGCAAACATGGGATACCCTCGGTTACTTGTGCGTACATGTTTACCTGGGATGAAATTTTTATAATTATTAAAAATTATTAAACAAGTTTAAGGGAAATCAAAAAGGGTTTGGTATATTTGAGGGTGTGTATTTAGAAATAGCCTGCCACAGTCATTCTATAGAGTACCTAAGTAGATTGGTAAGCTTACGAAGCTTAAAAATAATTAAATAAAAATTGTTTGCAAAGTATTTATGTTACATTAAATTTCTTTGAAAGTTTTTTATTCTTATTTTATTTCTGATTTCATACTTACTTTTAAGTGTAATATTAAGATAATTTTTCAATCAGTTATATATTGCTCTGATAGTTTTTGAATACATTACTATAATCTAGTCTGTTTTACTGTGCTATTATTTTAATGATCTCATGCATAGTCATGTCTTTTAATAATCTAATCTGTGATATATACAATGCAATATGCATTTACATGCCTTTTTGTGATGTGCCATCAATTTCACAATTAAATAAGTGAGGCTCTATCTCTCCTTTTTTGTGTTTTCCTTTGTATTGATCTGCCTAACATGGTTCATACATGTATGCTCATGTTTGTTTTGATTAAACCATGTTTGTAAATATTTTATATGCGGAAATTAATGTTAGTTAGTCTTACAGATTCTTTAAACAATCACAACATATAGATCAATATTTAAATAACCATCAACAATAAATATCTTCAAATTGCAAAAGATTTCTAGCTTAAAAAGTTTTGTATTTTGGAATATACAAAATGATCGGTACTCACACTTAAATCTAAACATGTTATAACCACTGCTTGGATTATCTTGCAGGAACCTCAAAAAACAACTATTTGCATCTTCGTGTGTTAAAGGATTCTTCTTTATCTATAAATGTGAAAGTATCGCATAATGTTCCACACGTCTCATTGTACCTATAAAGCTTGCATGCCTCCAGATGAGCCAAAAATATTGTTTTTTAATAAACTTGAGGAAAATTATAAGATTAAAAGAAAAGTAAAATATTCTTTGCGATTAATTGATTTTGCAGTATTTAACATTATATTTCAACGTTGGGACAAACATATTAAGTTTTTTTTTTATATTTTGACCTCTTTTGGGTAATTTACATGGATTGAAAGTGTCAAGTTACAACGAGCAAATTACTTTCTTTATTCATTTCACAATATTTTACTTTGAAAAACGTTTTCAAAATGTTTTCATAAAAAAATTAGCATATGTTTTAAAGCATGTTGCTTAAACCCTTAAAAATCTCATAATTTAAAATCTTAATACATTTACACTGTATCCTAATTAAAATTATTCTCAAAATAAAGATTTGTTAGATCATGTCGCCTCTACTACCCTTTAGAATAATTTTGCCAATATTTACACGACGAATTATATTTAACTGTAACTTTCCAACAGGTAAATTCATATGTTTTTTAATTGGTCAGACTGATTTGATATTGCTACCTATAGATGTCTCAACTTGAGTCAAACTTACGTGTAGTGTTTTAAGTGTCGTATTTTTCCTCAGACTGTACAAAGTTTGTCTAGACATGCTCTATTTATCCTGTTATCACTGATATTTCAGTTTCTGTTAAAGTGTTATTCTTCTCTAAAGCTTTGCCTAGTGCCGTGACTCCTTCCATATGAAGTCCGTTCCAAGACAGATCCAATGAGGTTATGCTTGTATTTTTCTGTTAACGAAAAAGAAACAAGATCTTTGCAACAGATGGTTTCCCTTTAAATTGCTGACTCAATAATTGTAATTTTATGAAGAGTACATGCATAAGGTTGTTGTAAACAGAAAACACAAATACAAAAACTCAAACCTTGTTCATAATCTAGTAGAAATACCCAACAGAAAGCATTTGTGAAATAAATAAACTGGAAATAAATATATTGAATAAAACAAACGTATCTTATTTATTTTCTTTTCTTTTAACACAGAGTATAAGAAAAAAAATGAGTATGGACCTACAACAAGAGCCTCTGCAACTTTGATTGCTCCTCTACGATGTAATTTGTTCCAACTGAGGTCGAGATGCTGTATTGTATCACTCCACACTGTGAAAGTCAGAAATGTTAACACTGGTTGCATTTTAGATATGATAATATTTCCTACTGTTAATCAATTGTTCTCGTGTTGAGTTTGAAAATGTATAATACCGGTATTCAATTTAGATATTTGAAAAAGAATCACATTTCATTGAGTCAGTTCGATCTACATATATATATATGCAAGCTCGTTTGGCTTTTTAATATCCTGCCTTATTGCGCTTAGTGTGTTACCAGTGTTTTGGTTTTCACGATAGAAGATTTCAATAAAGCAAATACTAAGAAGTTTGGTTCTTTTTTTTTCAAGACATTGTACCCGAGAATATTTTTAACAATGCCATTATTAGGAAGACGAATCGATTGATATATATTCTAAAGTAGTTAGACTGTTTAAGTCGCAATTATATAATTCCAGTCGGAAACATAGAACATTTGTTACACGGAGGAATATAAACTATATTGTTGGCATAATTTCTTTTTCATATACAAAATTGTCGAATACGCTGTACTTACATAATGCATCTCCAATTAGTTTGCCACCTTCGTCTCTTAACTCGTTATGTGACAAGATCAAGATCTTTAAATTATTAGTGTCCTAGAATAAAGATCAATAAATTAGAACTGAGACTAAAATCTGGCTATGCTACAATAGCAAACAACATTTTTAAGCATCAGTTACAAGTTATTGTAGAATGCTTGCCAGATAATTGAAAAATGAAATAAAAAAGTACAAACGGGTGCAAACTGATATTAAATATAATAAAAAATACAGTACTAGTACGTCGGAGGCTATCATAAAAAAGTCCCAAAGAAAATGCAGAAGTGCACATTTGAAATACCTCTATAATCGGACGAACAGCCTCTGCTTGCATGTCTCCAAGACCATTGTCTAAAACATACAATTAATGTTATACATCTATATGTGAATGAATTTATTATTCGTAACATGAAAAATATACATATCCGTTTTCTCAAGTAAAGGGAAAACTACCAATCTTTTCACACTCTACAATGCTGTGATGTGTTACCTCTTCTAACACAACGGATACACATGCACATGTATTACTATGTATGACTTATAAGGGGGCATGTATGGATTTTTTACCTTTCCTTACTAGATAAGTTTGCACAAAATCGGACTTTGCTAATTAACAAACCTTTTTTTAAATTAACAAGATTGCATTTTTCCGTGAAATTGTTCCTATTTCTCTGAAAATGATGTTATAATGGCTGAATAGACACGTTTCCAAGATAGCCACATCAACTTGTATGTCAAGAAAAATTATCTTATCTAATGTGATACATGATGTGACTAGACTTTGTTCCCACATCTTGTTACAATAGTAAGTTTATGTATTCATTTTGGGCCGGATGCCTTAAAACTAACTTTAATTCAATTAAATATAACATGCTTTTTCAAAATAAATAGCTTTAGATATAGCAGAATATGTACATTAATTAATTCTTGCTACTAACCTGATATATCCAAGGATTCTATTGAATCGGTTTTCTTTATGGCATCAGCGAGAATACGTACACCTTCTTATCCTTATGCGTTACTTGAAACATTCTGGAAATAAAGAAAAAAATAATATTATCTTATCATAATTATATTTTTGTATAGAAGTCTATACCATCTACTTTTAGAACTAACTTGTGTTAATTAATGTCTTACTTGTTCATGTGTAACCCGGGCTCAAGATACGCTTCTCATTTTGTTTAAAGGCCTCAACAGACGGTAGGAGTTAGCTGTACAGCACTAATTAGAGATAAGATGTACAATTTTCAAAGCTATACAACACTTGCATTCAGACGGTAATTCTATACTGTAATAATCTTCTGAGGTTTCCCCTGAAACATTACATTGATCCTTTACATACTTTACTCACTTAATACTTTTTTTCGCCATGAGTAATGATTGAAATACCTCCATTAAAAAAATTTTTTTTTTTAATGTGAAGCCCGACCGAGACTCAAACCTGGGACCCTCGGAATATCGTACTGCGGCTCTCCTGACTAAGCTATGTGGCCGCCTACAAACTACCTCCCCTCCCCAAATTCATGTTATAGAGAACAACTCAATACCGTGACATAATCATTTTCGGAATAATTTGGGATTGGAACACAACACAACTTTGGGTCTCCTGAAGAGTTTTTCAACATCATTTTTACCCCATCTTACTACTATGTTTACCTTTAAGCCCTAGTTGTTCTGGAATTTCATTCATTACAGTCATCCATTATCAGGAAATTATTTGCTTATCTGTTGTTATCAAATGTAACAGGTGCTGCTTTGGGAAACGAACTAAGAAAATCGGAAAGAAATCACGGCGCCTTTTCAATATATTCTTAATCAGCTTTCAAGATTTTGAAAATTAATATTTTAACCTTCAAGTACATTTTTATAGAAAATCAGAAAAAAGGTATCTAGAAATTAGATATTACAACTTAAAACTTAAAAAGTTGGCCTATCTTGTGTAAATTCGGAGTATATTGGTTAGTCTGGAAATTATACTGAAGAAACTATGCAAGATTCTGACCCAGGACATCTGAGAATCTAGCTTTAGTACGTCAATATATTTGATTACTTTTATGGTATGACTAAACAATAATTATGCCGTTTTCTGATAGCATGTATTACCAATTAAAATATGTTTACTAGTTTTGTTTTAAACAGTCTCACGCAATAATATTTTCAATTTTAATATGTTCTGTAAATTTTATGAATAGTATAGCTTACCTTTGAGATAATTTTGTAGAGCTTATGTTTTATAAATATGACAAAAAAAAAGAAATAGTAACTGGGCTGTTCATATAAAATATTTAAAACAAACTACCTTTACTTATTCAAACAATTTTCCTGTAAGACGGTCTTGTTTTATAAAATATATCTTTATATAAAGTTTGTTAATTTAAGTCTATGTTAAACAAGTCTATCTCTATCTTGTTGGCATTTCTATTCATTGCTGACATGTGATAGAGTTTAAGGTTAACATGTACTTGGCGATGTGACCTCAATATTTGTTAATAATTATGTACCCATAATTACTCTTTTTCAGTTGTACAAAGTAAACAAAGCTCTGTTACTAAAAATGAAATGAATTTATAAGTCTATTTTGAGGGTTCGTCACTTATCTGATAATATCTGTAAAACATTTTCGCGAATATGTCTCATTTTGACATTTTCATTAATTCGCCTTATTTTTTTTTAATTTGAAAAACATAAATCCCGAAAACCCTTGCCCTTTTGTACAAATTTCTATACAATTTATTTGAAACTGGCATGCATCCATTAGTTTAAGAAAAAGACAATTGATAAAACCTGTTTAATTGAATACAACTATCAAGACACTCCAACATTTTTTTATTATTCGCAAATATATAATTATACATGTACAATTGTCGTGAAATTGAACAATGCATTGCGTTGGTTGATGAACTAACACCACAGTAAACGTTCACATTGCCATCCTCCGAATGTATCAACGTTTGGTTATGAAGACAGATGGTTGAAGTAATGGTAGATGTACACCAAACATCAAAATACCAAACAAAGTCGGTTAATGGTTACGAACCTTGGCCGCTGCATTTTTCCAGTTGTCATTTATGCATATTATAATTACTAAGTCATGTTCTTGAACAGTTTTGTAATTATGTTTTGGACAAAAAATGGAAGTTTGATAAAGGAATATTTTTCAATAACAGAAACAATGGTATGATTTCCCGCCTCTGTATTTTCCTTGTACTGTTAGTGTTAATATTTCTATTAAGAATTAGGTCTATCATTTGCATAGTACGATACTTGTCCTCAACCTTTTAACTTTCAACTTGTAAAATGTCCCCAAATAGCCTCATTTTTTTCCAAATAAAGGTCTTTTTTTCAAATTAACTAAATTTAGGCATACACAATGACACATTCTTCAGAATTCAACTGAACAACAAGATATTTGTTCTCACTTATGAATTATTGAAAAGATTGTTTTACTTTTTTAAGGATAGGAAGCTACTTTAGGTCTGATTTAATGTGACACAATATAGTACTGAATGGGAAAAGGGCAATTCTTAACATAAATATTTTCATTCTATATGTACTCAAACAGAAAAACATTTTGTTTTTACAATTTCATGTCCATTCCTTTTATTATTATTATCTTGAATTAAACTGCTTTGACTCTAAAAATACTTCTTTTTTATATAATGTAAACAATGAAAGTAAATATTTATGATTGAACTCAGATGAATGAAAGCATTATTAAGTATATTTAGCATTATACCTTGGAAATGGCCATGTGGAGATATTATTCAATATCTCATCCCATTTGCTACTCTTGATATTTCTTAGAGGGGAGGGAGGGGGTTAATAAATAAGCAATAAATAGAGGGAGGGAGAGAGATTTAGACCATTATTCCATTGTTAAATGAGGATGTATTTTATTTATTAAATATTTTATTCAGACTTTCAATGAAGATGAGAATATTTTACAAAATAATAATAATTTAACAATAGATAGAATTCTAGAAAACATATTTGGACACTTTTTAATTTTCAACCAGTTATAGACTATGCACTTATTAAATTAAAGTATATATAGGCTAACTTATTGTTTATTGGGTAACAGTCATATACTATTCATTACATTATGTACATATATTGAAACCCTGGTTTACCTACTTCAATGACATATAGCCTATTCCTAAAGCTACTGGACTAGTATAATGTTGGCCAGTGACAGGTTCCAATCATTCATTTAAGTGTTAAGTATTTTTACTAACAAGATACATGTATAAGTAATACAATTATTATGTAAGATGTAAGAATTCCTAAACATAATATTGCAGGGTATTAAATAAAAATAATACAAAATTGAAGTAGAGGTAAATTAAAAATCACTTTTGATTGTTCATGAATTAATTATGGTAAATTCAAGATGACTATTGTTTTCTTTTTCATAATTATTGATCATTTAGTTTTTCCTCTGTTTAGTAAATTAATTGCTGGGAACCAAGTTGATTTGCATTTGAGTGTTGTGACTAGTGAGAATTATAAAACAAACATGTTGAACGTTTAAAATAAAGGATGTCAGTCATACAGTCACAAGAAAGCAAAGTGATTTTGTTTTCGTAGATGTATTTTTCATGTTTTTTTGTTGTTGTTGGTTTTTTTTGTGTTTTTTTTTTTGGGGGGGTGACAGGGTGTGATTGTTTTTATTTGTGGGGGGGGTTAATAAGCAAGAACTAGACCTTTATTCTATTATTTATTTTGCTATAATATGGTAAACTTTCAGTAAAGCTCTTCTATCATGAAACATTAGCTTTGGCAAATGCAACAAGATTTCCCAAAGGTGACTGATATGATATTTAGTTACTGAAACAGAAGTTTCATATATTATATAGTGAAACCACAGAGAGTAGTTTGGGGCAAAAAATCATTCAAAAATTGCATCTGCTGTTACACAAAATATTTTGGGTTCGAACGTTTTCGGTACGAATCTGATAGGAAATATATGCGTCAATACTTCTGCATCGAGTGGTTCTTGTATGAAATTAGTTACATTCTAACCATTATCTGTCCCAGTTGACGCATGATTTTGATATTTGCTCATTTGCAGTACGTTTTAATTTGTAAACAAAGCACATAGCAACCATGCGGTCTCACTAATTACCGACAAGAACCGTCAGTAAAAATGGAAAAGGACGAATTAATATCACTACTTCATCATTTTATAATCACAATTCCTAATATTTTTACATGAAAAACATAATAAATTCGTTCTGAACCATGTTTATAGGCAAATATCTAGCGACAATATTCGTGGATTTAAAATTTAATTCCCGTGACATCAGTTCCGAGGTCATAAACAAGTTCATCCTACGTAAGTTATATTTTGTACATTTGTTTAATGATGACATGTAATTAGTGTGGTGACAATTAACATCTTAATTGAAAATTTTAACCGATTTTAACTCTACTATCAAAATTTTCGATTGTAATAAAAATGGAAGCGTAAACCATGTGTTAATTTTGACATATTCCGCGAAAATAACATAACCGGATATAGAATTTATTGCATGTCCGGATTAGTTTTGGTTAGTTTAACCAGCGGTTAATTTTAACCATTTTGGTTTGTTAACCTTTTTGTTATCTAGGTTTATACAAGTGACTAAACAGATTGGTTAGTTAACCAAAGTTGGTTAAATTTAACCCACGGTTAGCGTTTAACCCAGGGTTAATTTAACCAACGTTTATACAATTGGGCGCTGGAAGAAAATAATTATATATTTAATGGGTAGCCTGTATCTGATACATGCCTATCTGCAAAATACAAAACATCTTTTCATCTAATCAGGCGTAAGCGACCTTCTTAGATTTTCATTTATAAAAATTGAAGCTGAATTATAAATAGTAATCAAGAGCACAGATAGCACATGTGAACTCAGTAAACATGCTGTAATACTGTTGATGTTGGAAGTTCAGGAAGTCCTCGTTCTTTATATGTCGCCAGAAGTGAACCCGTGCATGACAATAACACAAACACTATAAACTTTATTTGGTTGCAACTTGATTTTTTCTGCAAAACTTATTGGCGAGTCTGTCATCGGAGAAAACAGTGGTCCTTATCAAATATTTAGAAGTAAATTTACAATGTAAATACACGAATGAATAATACAAGATGTGTCACAGTATATGTCGGTGCGTTATAATATAAACGTAGAATAATTTGTCAAAGAATAAATAATTAGTCATTATATTCATTATAAGTTATCAGGTCCTATGCTTTCGGTTTTTTGACTTTTGGACAATTTTGATTGACGCAGCATATCAATTATCTGATATTTTAACATCGTTTCACCATCCTGACTCATTATCTCCACATCTCTTCTATACACAGAACTACCACTCATCCTTCTTGTCATTACACGAAACAAATATCGTCGAATCCTTTCCGATGCATTGACTGGAACCTTTTCTTTAGGCTCATCTTCCTCTGAATTATTTTCATTGTTATCCTCTTCTATCATACTGCCTATCTCTTGTAAGGTTTCTATGACCGAAAGTCGCCTTCGTAGGTTTGCCGAGGGTTTTCTTTTATTCGGAGCACGCTTTGAGCTGAATTTGGAAGATTGATAATGACCAACACATTTATTTAATCTCCCTTATAGCTAAGCTAGCTAAAACTATTATACTTTTACATGTATTTCTTTCAATTTGATTATTCTTCAGAAGAATGTATCTTAGATGACTGACTTTTCTAATGTAATAAAAAAAACATTTTTGTCTTCCTTGAAAAAAACAACACTCATTTCACTCCATTGATGTATTTTGAATGAAAGACTTATCTAATAAGGCATGTGTTGGTAACAATTGTCTACTAATAGTTAAAGATCAAATGTTCGCATCCATTGATAAGGCGTATCCCTTAACAAATCAAATATTTTTCAATGGCAATAACTTATTCATAAATAACATTGCCTGAATTTTGACACAGTAACAGGTCCGATAATGATGTAAATACTTATCAAAATAGTTTGTACCTGAAATCTACAAATCCTTTTGCGTCTATGTTCAGCCGTTTTACGAGTATTTCTGAACATTTGTCACTCAGTGGATTCTTCAATATCTAAAGAAAAACAAATTGTTTCTTTTGATTATTTCCATTTTACAGTGCAACTTCTGCACAACAGATTCAATTCTTCCCAATATATAATTACTTTAATGTCTCTACATCAGCACCTAATATCTGTCTTCAAATGTGTGTTACTCTGCAAAGATGACACGGTATTTTATGTTCTTTCGGTGAATCAAGACAAAAGCTTTCCATAAATTCGTGAAAAATGTCATTGCGGAAAAAATGCAGATATTTGTAACTTTAAAAAAATACAACATTCTTATCGATATTTACGTATATTGGAAACATTTGAAATAATATCTTAAAAACTCTCGTATCTAATAAGTATCTGACTTCCAAGATTGTTCAAAAAATTATATCGTTTCGTATCAAAAATCAACGTCATTGTGTGAGGCAGTGTACCCATATAGGTATTCAGATAATTATCTGCAAATTTTTATTATGAAATGTGAGCATTATAGGGTCATTTATGGCCTTATTGATCCTAATAACGCATATGTCTCATAGGAGGTTGCATTGACACATTTTCATAAGTGTTATCTATTAATCAATTATGTGCACTTCTGAATGATAGCATAAATTTTATCAGACGTGCTATCATTTTTTAACTGAATTGATTATTCATTGTAAACAATTTTAAATGCCTTCTTGACACATGATTCTTGAGATAAGTAACTTGTTTTATTACCTTTAGTGAATTCACCATATCATCGGGCGTTAAACCACAACGAAGTTCATCGGATATACCTGTAAAAAATTCAAACAAGCATACATCTTATTCGTAGAAAAGAAAATAATATTTCGTCAGTTAGTATTTATATAGCATATGATTAACATTGAAACGTTCAGGAAATATTTTTCATTCTTTTATGCATTTTGCAAAAGAAAGCAATGATACTTTATATAATGACCTATAAGACGGAACAATTATAAAAATACCTATAAGTAATTTCACAATGTTCACACCAAGGACGTAACTAAGTTCTTCTAGGACGTGCCAAGAATCTTCCTTCAGAAGCAAGCCTTCATCATTGTCTTGAATCGACATATCATGTCCTCGTAGTTTACCATGATGAACTGTCAGTTCCCGGGTACTCCTTAATTCATCAAGGACTGCCAAAAAGTTCTCGTCAACACATATCTCCTGTAATCAGTTAGCGAAATTTAGATCCGTAGATCAAGAATTTAAATGTATACAAATAAATTAGCTTAACAAAAAGCTCAACTTAGATGAATACATTAGAATGATTTATTTTTCAGTATTTCAGACATGTTGAGTCTTATAATCTTCAGTATTTAAAGGGTCAATAAATACTGAACATCGCTGAATAAGATAATGGATTTATTATAACTTGCAATAAGTAACTGCAGCTAATTTATTATAACTTGCAATAAAAAAACTGCAGCTATCTGATATCTGCTATGCAATCAGTTGAGTATCTTGATGCCACATTCAATCAAAATTCAACTTTCCATGGCAAGGTCGGTATTTCGTAAAACAGATACAAGAATAAAGTTCCTGTATAGGTAAAATCATTATAGATACAGTATCTATAAAATTATTAGTTACATCCCTTATATAATGTCACTTTGATTAAACTTTTTTCTCTCCCTGGCTTAAATGGATTTACAAATGTTTCTGAAAAAATACACTACAAACAACCTGAAAGTAATTATTTAGATTTGTTTTGCATATGGATTCTATTGCTGATGATGGCCCAGATTAGTTTCGGTAATTAAAATGGTTGCCAGTAGAGAAGCAGATAGCAAAAATAACATTGTGTCATGTTGTTAAGGCAGAGAATGTTAAGGCCCTCGGTTATCTGGGTGAACATGTTAAACCGGTGTGTAATCTTCATTATCAATACACAAGAATAAGGGTTATCTGATACCGGGTAATTCTGCTAATCTGAAAGGGGTTGGTGAGGGTGTGTCTTCGGATATAGCCTGACACAGCCGTTGTTTGGACTGATGGAGCTTAAGCATTTTAAATATGATTTGTTTGCACAGTACATTTGTATTTATATTTAGTGTTTTAGTAAGAATGTTTTGTAAGTTTTAATTCTTATTTGTTATTTCTGCTCTCATACTTTTTAGTAGCATATTAAATATGTTTCCTGATTCAATATTGAATATTGAATTAATAAACATCAACTACTAAATATCTTCAAATGGCAAAATAATATCTACCTTAAAAGCTTATTAAAAGAAAACGAAATACTCACACTTAAATCTAAACATGTTATACCACTGTTTGGATTATCTTGCAGAAACCTCAAAACAACTATTGCATCTTCGTGTGTTAAAGGATTCTTCTTTATCTATAAATGTGAAAGTAACGAATAAGTTCCAAACACGTCCCATTGAACTTTGGAAGTTTGTATACCTCCAGATAAGCCAAAATATTTTAAGAAAGTTAAACTTGTGAAAAAGAAAAGAAATGTATAAGATTCAAGATTTGTGTAATCATGTATATTTTATGTGCGATTAATGACTGAGTTTGCCTTATTTAAAGCCATGTTTACTAACATATTATGGTTTTTTATGGCATATTTTGATTTCGTTTTAGTCATTTACGTGGATTATAAGTGTAGATTGCAATGTGCAAATTACTGTCTTTATTCAATTCACAATATTTTACTTTGATATACAATTTCGATTTTTCATGAAAATTAGCATGAAACTGGAGGCATGTTGCTTTAACAAATATATTTACACTTTACCATGATTGAAATCTCAAAATAAAGATTTGTTTAGATCTTGGTGCCTCTACTACCCTTTAGAATAATTTTGCCATATTTACACAACAAATCATATTAAACTGTAACTTCCAACAGTTGAAAATATATGTTCTTAATCAAAACTGACCAATATAAGTTTTGGTATTTGGTCAGATTGATCTGATATTGTCGCCTATAGCATGATGCCTTAGAGAAATCTTACGTGTAGTGTTTTAAGTGTCGTATTTTTCCTCAGACTGGTACAAAGTTTGTCTAGACATGCTTTATCAATCCTATTATCACTGATATTCAGTTCTGTTAAAGTGTTATTCTTCTCTAAAGCTTTGCCTAGTGCCGTGACTCCTTCCATATGGAGTCCGTTCCAAGACAGATCCAATGAGGTTATGCTTGTATTTTTCTGTTAACGGAAAAGAAACAAGATCAGTGCAACAAATGGCATCCCTTAAAAGTGTTGGCTAAATAAGACTGCTTGCATAATCGTATTTTTTTAAAAAGAATACATGCATAAAGTTCTAAACAGAAAAACAAAGGTTCAAACCAACAGAAAGCATTAGTCAAATTAAAAGTAAATTTATATAATGAGTTTTTAAAATAAAAACAAACGTATTTGATTTTTATCTTTTCTTAGCATAATTGAGTATAAGAAAAATGAGTATGGACCTACAACAAGAGCCTCTGCAACTTTGATTGCTCCTCTACGATGTAATTTGTTCCAACTGAGGTCGAGATGCTGTATTGTATCACTCCACACTGTGAAAGTCAGAAATGTTAACACTGGTTGTATTTTAGATATGATAATATTTCCTACTGTTAATCAATTGTTCTCGTGTTGAGTTTGAAAATGTATAATACCGGTATTCAATTTAGATATTTGAAAAAAAATCACATTTCATTGAGTCAGTTCGATCTACATATATATATATGCAAGATCGTTTGGCTTTTGAATATCCTGCCTTATTGCGCTTAGTGTGTTACCAGTGTTTTGGTTTTCACGATAGAAGATTTCAATAAAGCAAATACTAAGAAGTTTGGTTCTTTTTTTTCAAGACATTGTACCCGAGAATATGAATATTTTTAAAAATGCCATTATTAGGAAAACGAATCGATTGATATATATTCTAAAGTAGTTAGACTGTTTAAGTCGCAATTATATAAATCCAGTCGGAAACATAGAACAATTAGTACACGGAGGAATATAAACTATATTGTTGGCATAATTTCTTTTACATATACAAAATTGTCGAATACGCTGTACTTACATAATGCATCTCCAATTAGTTTGCCACCTTCGTCTCTTAACTCGTTGTGTGACAAGATCAAGATCTTTAAATTATTAGTGTCCTAGAAATAAAAGTCAGTATATTGAAACAAGGAATAATATCTGACTTTTATGCAATGCTATCAAGAATATCATACAGTCTTGTTTTAGCATCAGTTACAAATTAACAATTATTTGAAATTATTGTAGAATGCTCGCCAAAAAAAAAAAAAATAAAGAGCCAAAACTGTGTATATACATGTATAACATGTATTTGTCTAGCACACAATTATAAATATAACCTTAATTTACTATATCGGATTATAGTTGATGTTCTTACCATTTTAAAAGACAAAGTAAACGTTAAATATACCTCTATAATCGGACGAACAGCCTCTGCTTGCATGTCTCCAAGACCATTGTCTAAAACATAGAATTAATGTTATAGAAATATGAATTAATTTATTCTTCGTACACATCCGTTTTCTCAAGTAAAGGGAAACTACCTATATTTCCACAATCTACTTTGATGCGATGTGTTATCTCTTCTAACACAACGATATTACTAAGTATGACTTATAAGGTCATATTTGAATTTTCTACATTTCCTTAGTAAATAATTTTACACAAAAGCAGACTCCTTGTCTAATTGACAAAACCTTTCTTAATTTAAAAGATTTTATTCTTCAGTGAACTTGTTCCTATTTTTCTGAAAATGATGTTATAATGGCAGAATAGACACGTTTCCAAGATAGCCACACCAAATTGTCTTTCAAGAAAATTATCTTATCTAAAGTGTTACATGATGTAACTAGACTTTATTCCCACATCTTGTTACAATAGTAAGTTTATGTATTCATATTGGGTCGGATGCCTTAAAACTAACTTTGAATTCAATAAAATATAACATGCTATTTCAAAATAAATAGCTTTAAATATAGCAGAATATGTACATTAATACTTGCTACTAACCTGATATATCCAAGGATTCTAGTGAATCGGTTTTCTTTATGGCATCAGCGAGAATACGTACACCTTCTTCTCCTAATGCGTTACTTGAAACATTCTGGGAATAAAGAAAAACATAATATTATCTTATCATAATTATACTTTTGTATAGAAGTCTATACAATTTATCTTTAGAACTAACTAGTGTTAAGGTCTTACTTATTATTGATGTGTAACCCGTGCTCAAGATACGCTTCTCATTTTGTTTTACTTGTGGTGAAGTTCTAAATCTGCTAAGTTCAACATTGTTGTTCTTAAGTCTAAACTGCTGCATTCTAGCTTGTGATTATGTCTAACTGAAGTCTTAGTTTTGTCATACAATGCAACTTGTTTTCGCAATTACAATTAAGGATGTTTATATTATAAATGTATTAATAAAAGTAAGAAAGCAAAATAAACTTATCAAAAACACCACTCGTATTTAAGGAATGTCTTTGTCAACAATGAACTTTTTATTGCTTTTTTTATCTAAATTTTTTGTATGTCAAAACTGAATGATTACAATAAGTCTTGACTTACTAGATGTTTAAGAAAGTTGTTTTCTGATATAAGTTCAGCCACATATCTTGCCCCGTCAGGTCCCAGGTTATTGTCTGTAACATCTAAAGTGTGCACATTTAATGTCTCCTTTAAACAAATATAAGAAAGAAAATTCAATTTTTTCTCTTTTATTTTGTCCATCTAATCAAAGAATACAAAATAGAATATGATTCAATAAAATTCAGCTTTCTTCAACAAATAATATAATTTGTGAACACTCACAGATAAATTAATAGGAAAAAAAAACATAAACAGTCAAGGCCAAAACACCATTTTGGGGAAGGGGCCTCAGCCCTTATCTTAGGGAAAATATGCTTGATTTTGGCATACTTTGGGAAAAGGGGTCTCAAATTTAACACAAACTTTTAACCAAGTTCTTCAAAATAGAAAAGCAAAAAGCACTGGGAAATACTAATAAAGCAGTAAAAGACCTTAATTTAACACCAGCATTTAATTTTATTTTGAATTTTTATTGGAAATTTCAAAAGACTGAGAATTTTGAGGACCAAACTGGGGAAAAAAGAGGCTAATTTGATTGGGGAAGCAGCCTATATTCGGCCTCTACAAAGAAGGGTTTTTTGGCCCTGACAGTGTACAGTATGTTAACCTTCTGCATTATAAAGGTTTGGAAACATGATAGGTCTCGACCCATATTAAAACATATTTGATTTGTATGATTAGTGTTTGGGTTTATATTTGATTAATTTACATGAAATTCAATTGGTTTTCTTTCATTTAATTGGTTTCAAACCCGTGCTCTAGGTTGAGAATGGATGAGAAGTTCTAGAGTGTGAATGTTCAAAGGAACATTCACTTTATTAGTTTAAAGACAAAAGAAAGTTAAACGCCTACCACTAAAGCAATCGCACAGGCCTTCATACCGATTGGGCCAAGACGTTGCCTCTTCAGAACTATTGTATCGTTTAGCAAATGTTTGTAGAAGAATGACGAATGAGGAATTTGAAATCGTTTACAAGCTTTCAGATACAGTTCCTGTGTATAGGTTCCAGGTGTATGTACGAGATGAGGATATCTTGGCGGTTCCTCGGGCTCTTCACCTACCAAATATATTTGAGCCGCGTCACGACAAAACCAACATAGTGCGTTTGCGACCAGCATGGATCCAGACCAGCATGCGCATCCGCGCAGTCTGATCAGGATCCATGCTGTTCGCTTACAAAGTCTATTACAAGTAGAGAAACTGATAGCGAACAGCATGGATTCTGATCAGACTGCGCGGATGTGCAGGCTGGTCTGGATCCATGCTGGTCGCAAGCGCACTATGTTTGTTTTGTCGTGACGCGACTCATTTATAGCGATTACATCATGTTTAAAAGATAGAACAGTAACCTATGTTAAACAAATGCATCAAGTTAAAAAATTAAGATATTTTTTTAATTATCTGTTTCATAGACCATTTTTCTAAAATGATTGATTGCCGGGTCAAGTACTTGTGCATAATACACAAGTTTTTCGATTTAATGATTTTTGGTTGAGAAATTGCCCTTGAATAAAAAAAATGTGTTTTTTTTGTGTTGCAAGGTAAAAATACGTTAAGGTACCGAACTTATAAGCGAGTATAAAATCGAGAAATTTCGCCTTTTTCTTATGTCATAATATTTAGGCTATCAGTTAGATGACATTATAAAGATTGTTTCTAGTCTTCTTGGTGATTATTTGATCTAAAACACACGGAATAAGTTAACCTCTTATACATAGTTGTTATAACATTCAATCTGTGAATATAATGAACATTTGTAAATTTTAAACATAATTTGTTGAAGTGAACTTAAAAGATGCTTGTGATGAACTTACCATCAAAGTCATAGTTTTCTTTGAAAAAGTTTTCATTCTCATGTAAATCATTCAAATAGCTCATTTGAGAACTTCGCCCATCACTGTCTAATGTCATCGCCGAATCTGTATGCTTCCGCCTTCGATGGATTGTTGCTCCCGGTGTTGTGGAGTGTGATCGCCGTGATGCGGCGGGATATATGCTACTGCGATAATGTAGTGCCAGACAGTATGGACTCTCAGCATTATTTCGTTTGATCAACTTCCAAACGTCAAACTTAAATAAAAGACATGGTAATTTTATGTTTCAATATTTGCGTCTAGTAATTGCAAGAAATGCATTCATGTTTTAAGAAATGACATTTTCTCGATTACCACTTAGAATCAGTGTTACATTCACTTGGTTTATCTCGTCGACTTTTTTTTATAAGGGAAAAGCTTACAGAAATAAATGGATTTATTTCACACATTATGAAATGTAACTAATGAGCTCAGTATTGTACACAACAATGTATGGTAACCTCATACTTATTCGTTATTAAAAGGAGCTAGCGAATTATTGGATGGATACAATTTTCATTTGTCTTCATGTCTGATTTAAATGCAATTTTATTTTACTTTTGTACTTTTATAACAATGGTTTATATCACTACAGTCATATATTTGTATTTTTGTTGCGTTCAGTGGATATATTTTCCATTCGTAAACTACATCGGTGCAGTTACATTTTTTACTTCTTAAAATCATTTTACAAAACAATAAAACTAACAGGACAAAAGTATAAGGTATTCTAACGACAAATAATAATAAAAAAAAATTACCTCAGATTCTTTTCGCTCCACTTTCGGCTGTGTATAAAAGTAACCCATAGAGCGAGTTCTTTGAAGTCGTTTGTTATTTTGATCAGAAAATGTTGTTGTCTTTGTCGCCATGGTAATGCAAATTCCTTAGTAACAGTCAAGGCATCATCATTACCATAATTAGTATTACAGTTTAAAATCATGAAATATTTACGCTGATGTATTTGAAAATAAAATCCACTGAAGTTGCTTCACATTTTAATCTAGCCTTATACATTAGATTAAAAAATGTAAATAATACTGTAATATATTGAAACCTGTTACCCGTTCGTAAAATGTGTTATATTTTGGTAAAATTAATAACCTATTACTATCAAAAGACAGTTCAGTAATCGCTCCTTTTATCTTTTGATCACCTATTCATAATAATTTAACATGAATTGGCCATTTAATGAATTTGTTAAAGGTAACATTTTTTCGTCACAAATAAACCCTACTCTTTTCTTTACTTTCAAAGCATGTCAATGTTGTATTAAATTTGATACCTTCCAAATTATGTGCTAACCTCGGGTAAGTAGATATAAATTACAAGTTACTAATATACCAATTTAAAATGTATTTTTATTTCACCTTCATTACATTGATTTATTTTATTTAACTTCTTTTGAATTTGTACAGGGTATATTTTTATGCAAATCAAAAGATTTAAGTTAATATTCTTGTTTTTTTTTCTTCTAATGTATTTATTCATCAATTATGGAACACTAATGTTAAGATAATTATATTTAATACAATACTTTCATGTATAAGCTATAAAGCTATAAAGGTTGGGAGTTTTTTTTTTGTTTTTAGTTATTAAAATGCACCTTACTACTTTCTTCATTAATTTCATTCAGTTGTTCATACTAGAATATAGTGTTTTAAAGTGACAATATGCCTATTTAAATGTGAATTGCGAATGAAAATGTAAAAGTCAAAATAACTTAACATTTAGGCAAAACTGTTGTCAATTGTATATCTATAAATAATAAATATCCCAGATAACCCAGGTAAAATTTCTATAAATAGCCTTAGGAATATATTCATAACGTCCAATTGATAAAAAGAAAGGGGCAGTTTTTTTCATATTGTAGGTAGTTTTATACATTTTTTCTTTAAAAATTTGCCATTCTCAGTTATTGGTCAATCACTATTATAACAGTCAATCTTTAAAATGAAATGTTCAATTTGACAGAGAAATAATGATCATAATGTCACTATAACCTTCATTCATAGACACTATCGTTAGTCATATATGTGTTACTTCTGGATGTCCTCCCTCATTTTGTTAAATCTGCTACATAAAGTAAACTCCACTTATAACGATATAAATGTAAAAATATTAACAAGATATGTTTGTAAAACATGTATGTCCCCTATCGGCAGCCAATTGGCCATGTGGCCAGGTTATTGTGATTAACTTTTGGCCTAGTGACTAAAAATCAATAGGGGATATCTACTGGTCATGACAAGTCACTATGTATTGTGGCCGTAAAGGTTGTGTGCAGCAATTTTGTGTCAAAGTTATCACCAATCTTACCATATAAAATATGCATAAATTTTATGAATCATGTAGACCTCCTTGATGACAGCCAATTTGTTACATAAACTACTAAACTTTTGCTAAGCACCATATAGAGTGAGAATATTTTTTGGGATAATTTTATTTAGCAATATTTGCAGTCTGAAACTGTTCACCTAGTCTTCTCCAGACTCTAGCACGTCTATCTGTGAAGTATAGGCAGAAGCTGGACTCATCAGTGAACAGAACGTGTCTCCAGTGTTGTATATGCTCAATGGTCCATTCCAAACGGGCCTGGCGATGTCGACACGTCAAGGGGATACGTATGCAAGGTCTTCTCGACCGCAAATTACCTTCATGCAGCCTTTTACGTACCGTCTGAGTGGAAAAACGAACACCCGTAGCATTAGCTAGGTTATTTCGAAGAGGAGTTGCTGTCGAAAACCTTGTACGACGTGCCTGATTGACCAAAAACCGATCCTGGGCTGGTGTTTTTACCCTTTGCCGACCTCCATCATGCCCCTTGGCGGGTGTCCATGTGGCCGATATCTCTCCAGGCTCTGGTGATGACGGTGTGGTGTACACCAAGCGCCGCACCAACCTAGCGGTAGGTGGCCCCCTGATGCACCATCCCTACGGCCCTCTATAACTCTGCTTCTCTCAATGTCGCCTAATGTAAGCATTTGCCATATCGAAGTGACAGATGTAAGAAATGTAGCCACTGAATGACAATAAGCCGGTAATATCGTCATATAACAAAAGACACATGATTGTGCACCTCATTAAAAGCATGAAAATATTAGGGTGCATGCTTTCCATGCTACCTAGACGACTTGAAACGGATTAGTCAACAAGGATTCATGTCAGGGGACTATCTAAAAACATAGTTGAATCAGAATTTTCGAAAATTGGAAAGAAATTTGTTTTAAACGTGTGATAATATAAAAATTAACTTATGGTGCTTAGAAAGAGTTGAGAAGTATATTACATTTTAAGTTTACTAAAAATATCAACCAATGACATATTTATCGAAAACCGTTTTTACGTACAAGGTTTCGATGTGACTGACCTTTGAACCTTAAATCAATAGAGGTTATCTACTGGCAAAGACCAATGCACCTGTGTAGTTTAAGGTAAAGGGCCGACGAGTCGTTGAGACATTGATCAGAAAGCGTGTTTACTTATAGTGTTAATGTGATCTTGACCTCTTGACTTTCTGACCAAAAGCAATGCATCTGCGAAGTTTGAATGTCAAGAGTCCATAGGTTGTCCGGAAATCGTTTTGACACACAAGGTCAATGTGACCTTAACCTTTGACCCCTGACCCAAAAATAAAAAGGGTCATCTACTGGCCAAGGCAAATGCACCCATGCAGTTTAAAGGCCAAGAGACAATGGGTTGTCAAGTTATTGATCGGAAACCGTTTTTACCTACAAGGTCAATATAACCTTTGACTCCTGACTCTAAAATCAAATAAAAAGGGGTCATCTATTTGCCAAGACCAATGCACCTACGAAGTTTGAGGACCAACGACGAAGTTTGATCGGAAGGTAAATGTGACCTTTACCTTAAAATCAATAGGGTCCAAACAATCATCATGACTTACCTCTATGCCAAATATGAATACTGTGGTTCAAAGGATTCTTAGGTTACTGGGCGGACAAGCTTTTTTTAGCCAAGGCCCTTGTGACCTTCCACCTCAAATATGGATCATCTACTAAACATGACCAATCTCAATACCAAATATGAAGTCTATGCGCCAAGTGATTATAAATTTATTGGGCGGACAAGGAAAATAAACATCGTTGTGTGGGGGTATAATAAAGTTATAGCCACTTGCAGCAAAACAGGTTGAACTCGGTGATGCTCCCCAAATAGGTTTTGGCCACAGAAAAGAATACCTCTTATAGTGTCAGAGTTATGTCCCGGACAATGTTCAAAGTGTAAAAATGAACAAAGAGCAATAATTTCAAAATTAACAAAGTGTTAAAATGAACAAAAGGCAATAATTCCAAAATTAAGCAAGGCAGAGTTACTGTTATTTTGCACATCTCTTCAGTTCTATTTAATGAGATCTATCTACCTACAAATATTCTTGTTGATACCTCTTATGGACCCAGACAAAGTTCAAAGTAAAAAATGAACTAAGGGCAATGATTTTAAAATTAGGCAAGGCAGAGTTATGGTTCTTATGCACTGCACCTCTAACAAATGAGATATATCTATAGTTTCATGTTGATATCTGTTATAGTTTCAGAGTTATGTATCGGACAAAGTTTGAAGTGTAAAAATGAACAAGGGGCAATAACTCGAAAATAAGGCAAGGCAACGTGATGGTTCTTTTGTACTGCACTTCTACTCAATGAGATCTATCTACCTACATAGTTTCATATTGATATCTCTTATTTAGATGTATGTCCTGGACAAAGTTCAAAAATATACAAAGGGCAATAACTACAGAATTAGGCAAGACTGTGTTACAGTTCTTTTGCACTTGCACTGCACCTCTACCCAATGAGATCTATCTACGTACAAAGTTTCATGTTGATATCTCTTATAATTGTAGAGTTATGTCCTGGGCAAAGTTCAAAGTATAAAAATGAACAAAGGCAATAACTCCAAAATTAGGCAAGGCAGAGTTACTTTTCTTATGCACTGCATTCTACTCAATGAGATCTATCTAGCTACATAGTTTCATTTTGATATCTCGTATAGTATCAGAGTTATGTCCTGGACAAAGTGCAAATTGCAACAAATGAACAAAGGGCAACAACTCCAAAATTAGGCAAGACAGAGTTACGGTTGTTTTGCACCGCACTTCTACTCCTTGAAATCTATCTTCCTACGTGGTTTCATGTTGATATCTCTTATAGTTTCAGAGTTATGTCTCAGACAAAGTGTAAAAATGACCTATGGGCAATAACTCCAAAATTAGGAAAGACAGAGTTACAGTTCTTGTGCACTGCACATCTTGAGAAAAGCGGACGGATGAACAAAGCAGTGACAATATGCTCACCCTTCGGGCAGCATAAAAATATAGACATTCAACCATGAAGGTAAAGGTCATTTATGAAAGGTCAAGTTTAGCCTGATCTACTCCAAGGTTTGTTGTGGCCAAGAATGAAGACAATACATCAAGAACTTAACAGTTACTTTGCCGCAATGTGCTACACATTATTTTAAAATCCATTCATAAATGACAATTGTGGACAATACAAAGTTCGGACAGAAGCTACAAAAACTATATGCCTCCCCATTTTTCATGAAGAGGTGGGGGGGGGGGAAAGAGTCGATAGAGGGTATGTATCCCCTACACTGCTTTTACTGATTAGCATTTTTGACAGAAAAAAACAACAACTGTATCAGGAACAAATTTTATTTTTATGAGGAGTAAATTTCAACAAGTTCAATCTCAAACTTAAGTACAAAAAAATTGAATATACATTTATTTTGTCATTTAAATTTCTCTTATAATTCAGGCATATTATTTAGCCTAGTCATGTGGCAATAGGAGATGAATATATTTTCATGGCAGCAAGCAATTTTGTTCGGAAAAGAAATAAAACATTTTTGGTTATAATTTGTGACACAAGTTATATAGAGTAAGTATTTGAGCCATAATAAAGGATAAACAATATAGTAATTTCAATTCATTTGCTGTAGATGCCCAGCAGAGCAGAGATACTTTAAAGCCTGTAAAAAATAAAATGCATAAATGTTCATGATATCTTAAAAGAACAAAGTTTACACATTAGAAGATCCAAGAACTGGCGTACTGACAAATATTTTAAACAGCTTGTGTGAAATATTGGTCGTGTCAAATATCATATAATTGTAGTTTTCTATGCTGAGTAATATTTTTAACTCTTCTTATTCATGGCAATGTACATGATGTACAGTAGCGTTTGCATTGCCTTGGCTCAATTAAAGAATACTGCAATTATAAAAGCTGAAAAGATCTTTGAAACTTTTTTCTGTTACCTCTCTTAATATTTTGTTCATTTTAATGTCTTAAGAATAAAAACACACAGACCAAAATAAAAACAAGATAACAGATGTATATATGCCTAGAGACAAAATAAAAGAAATTAAATAAACATTCATGAATAACAAAAAATAATTATGATAAACTTCAGGAAGTGGTATGTAACAATAAACTAAAATAAAATAACTAAATCAATAACAAAAACATACATAACATAGCAATAAATAATTGAGTGGGTGTAATAAAATAAGGTCATTTAATTTCCTATCAATATCTGAGTTAACTTTTTATATGTTTAAATATATAAATAAGCATTAGTTTCTGTGTGAGAGTCAAAGTTACAAATTTACTTTTTGCTTTTTTTACAATGAACGTTTTGCAGTGAATATGGTGAAACTTTTTTTAATGTTCAATATTAATTAAAGGTCAATCTTAAAACATGATGTGATGTTTAAATGCTATATCTTCATTATCTTGGCTGCTAGAACAAAGATTTTCCTAGTTCTTTTATGTCAAGCACCTAAAATAGTCTCAACAGCTAAACATATACCATTAGAAAAAAGAAATATATACACAACACGAAAACAGAGCTCCGGTATAATAAAGAAAATTAGTATAATTATAAAATAACATGTTCTTAAAATACTTGATGTAGTACTGTTTTTTAAAATAGCCCAAGAATTTCAGCAATTTAGTAATAAAAGGGTGACATAAACTGAGACCAGGTTAGAGAAAAATTCTAGTATTTTCTTGTGAAATCAATGGACTTATTTATTTTTCATTGAAAAATTATTCAGTTTGAAATTGTTTGTTACCATGCCATCTGACATAACTATTTTTTAATAAACAGTCACCCTGATGTTTAATGTAAGGGAAGGTACAAGTTCAGTGCAACTTAACTGTAGTAAATAACAGGAAAACAAATGTTTAAATTATAAAACAAACATAATTTATCCTAGGACACACTGATGTTCAATTATAAAACTGTCTTGGAAACAGATGGTTAACCAATCACCGATACAAAAACAAGATAAAAATGATAATTAGAATGTCTGTATTGATAAATGACATTAAAATAGTTCTGGCTCTGCTGTGTTAAGTTAAAGTTGATAAAACATGACATAAAATCCCTTCACCATACATAGAATTTAACAGAGTATTATATCTAACTTGAATTCTTAACAGTTTTAGGCATCTTGTAATAATTAAAACCGGCACGACATATTATTCATTATCATGATTGATTCCTTATTATTTTTACTATCTTTTGCTTTTTATTTTTACTATCAAAAACGGTGTGATTGTAATTCTTTATTGGTACTATTCAAACTGTGTTTAACAGTTTCATTCAAGAGACTTTAATTTTGATTCTTAATCAATTAAAGCAAGGTCTGGGCCTACTAAAGCAAGGTCTTAGCTGAATCATTTACATATTTAGTGAAATTATGGTCAGAGCTTAAACATTGAGTCATTAAACTAATCAACACATCTGTAGAAACTTTTAGTCACAAGGATAGTTTAATTAATTTACAGACTTCCAAGTTGTCTAAAGGATTAATATAGTATAAACTGTTTTGTTTAAATATTACAAGATGACAAAAAAACTGCCAAGACTAAGGGCAAGAAAAATAACCAATTAGACACAATGACAAAAGTTTTAAAAGGCAATCAATTTTAATGAATAAACATAATAAAGGTTGACAATTCACATTAATACATAAATTGCTCTTCTCAAGTCATGAATGTAACTCCTTTGAGATGGTATCATACCATAAACCTTTCTGTTGATAATTACAACACAGTAAAATAGTCATCTTTAATTGGAACCAATTCTATGACTTTTACTTACATCTTTCAGTAATGAAGATCTTAAACAGGTATCTAATATCACACCTTCAACCTTGTTAGACAATTGTACAACAAGGGGTAAACATAAGAACATGATCCATGTGCAGTGACCTTTTAGCTGCACAATACAACAGTAGAAATTATTGATATTATCTAGGTCTTATTTAGATTACCTATGACCCCGTGAACTACAAAGGCCTCATGAAAATTCTGTTTAAAAAGTAATAATGCATGGTTTAAATGTAAGCTTCGTTAATTGTTAATACATATATGCATTTTTTTTCAAAACAATGAAAGAGACCAGCATATGCAAGTTAAAAAATACCATAAAAATCTCAGGATGGTTACAGAAGTTAAATGACATTAAAATGATTCTGGTGCACAATCAACAATTGAAGATGTGAATATTAGTGTAAAATTTTGGTGATTTAAATATCATTTTTATATGCAAGTTTTTGTTTAATGTGCAAAAAATGTGGTGGAGCAACATAAATCTAATGTGATGATCATTTATTTGTTATATGAACAATGATTATTACTAAATCTGTACATCACATGCACAATGTATAGAGGAAGAGTCTTTAAATTTACAAATATCTGTCATAAACAGCGTCATTTCATATTGTAACTAGGTAACACACACAACAATATAAACTCTGAAGATCAGTAACAAGTTGTAAATAACTTAGTAATCATGAATGTCTAAATCAAATACATTGGAATTTTCTAAAAACTTTTTCAACAGCATAAAATATTATGGTCTCAACAAGAAATGGAATTAATAGCAATGTTAAAATGAACAGCAATTGGAGATAAAGAAACACAAATGATTTCAAAATGATTGGTATTAAATTCAAAATATATACATATAGAAAGAAACTAAAATAATTACAAGGAATCACTTCAATAAACAAAAACAAGAACCGGTTGATGCTCCCCGAGAAGGTTCTGGACACAGGAAAGTATAAAAAATTGTCTACAAAGTTTCATGTTGATATCTCTTATAATTTTCAAGTAATGTCCCGGACAAAGTTCAAAGTGTCAAAATGAACAAAGGGCAATAACTCCAAAAGTAGGCAAGACAGTGTAACAGTTCTTGTGCACTGCACACCTACTCAATGAGATCTATCTACCTACAAAGTTTCATGTTGATACCTCTTATAATTTTAGAGTTATGTCCCGGACAAAGTTCAAAGTGTAAAATAAACAAACAGGGATAATTAAAAAATTAGGCAAGGCAGAGTTACGGTTCTTGTGAACTGCACACCTACTCAATGAGATCTATGTACCTACAAAGTTTCATGTTGATACCTTTTATACTTTTAGAGTTATGTCCCGGACAAAGTTTAAAGTGTAAAATAAATAAAGGGGAATAATTAAAAAATTAGGCAAGGCAGAGTTACGGTTCTTGTGCACTGCACACCTACTCAATGAGATTTATCTACCTACAAAGTTTCATGTTGATACCTCTTGTTGTTTCAAAGTTATGTCCCGGACAAGAAAAGCGGATGGACGGACGAACGAAATGACGGACAAGGCAGCGACTATATGCTCCCCCTAAATTTTTCGGGGAGCATAAAAAAATAAACATGGAATTCTAAAGTCATATTATAAGTGAACAATTACAAGGAAAAATTGTAAGCATAAAATATCTAATAAAACAACTATGAAATAACATCAAATGTATGAGAGTTGGCTATTCTATGATTTCACTACCCACTCAGCTCCCATACTTTTCATACACAATGGCAAACTTGCCTTAAAAAGATATCAAGCCTTATAATACATATATCCCAGAAACATTTAGCAGAACTATAAAAGACAATTGTGTTTGGTGAAAAAACACAACCCCCCTTCTCTCCTATAACACAAAACTAAACATGGGTGATTGCTTAATTTGTTCAGCTCACAGTATCTGCCAAAACCATTGGTCATGAACTCCTAAAATTGTATTTTTTTTTACTGGCCATTTTTAAGTGAACAACATTTCAATTGCAAGAAAGAATTAACCTACTCTCTAAATTCAGAAAAGTTTTAACTTTCATGTTATATGAAAATCATAAACTGCACTTGTAGATCTAGTAGTTATTTTCACGTATGTTAAAATCAAACTCAAAATTTCCTCATTTTTTAAGTATACCAGTGCCTGAAATACGGAAGCTAGGAAATAATGTGAAATGGCACTTTTTTTGTATTAATAAAAAAATCAACAACATTTCATAGAAATGAGCACATCATACACTACAATACTTGTTTTATACATTTTCTTTACACACACACACATAAATTCTTATAAAAAAAAAAATCCAAACTAACTTTGAGAAATTTGGATGATGTAAGACACTTGTTCTGGTGCTTTTAAACACACAAATCTTAAATGAGCCGCGTCACAACAAAACCAACATAGTGCGTTTGCGAACAGCATGGATCCAGACCAGCCTGCGCATCCGCACAGTCTGATAAGGATCCATGCTGTTCGCTTACCAACTCTATTACAAGTAGAGAAACTGATAGCAAACAGCATGGATCCTGATCAACCTGAGCGGATGCGCAGGCTGGTCTGGATCCATGCTGGTCGCAAACACATTACGTTGGTTTTGCCATGACGCGGCTTAAATGATGAATTGGAGAGAAAAAATGTGTAATGAGATTCCAGCTCAGTATTATGTGAATTGACACAGTCTCAATGTCACAGTAAAATAGTGTATGATGTATGGAATATAAGGCACTCTCAGAGGCTCTCTTGTCACAGACTTGCACTAATATGGTGCACAGCACATCCAAAAATAAAATGTATCAAAAAACAAAATTTACGCCAGAAATGTTATCAACATGTTCCATTTACTCAATGGATCATGTTGCTTAGCAACAACAGTACATGATAAAGCATGACGTCAAAAACTATATATAAAATAAAGTGAACAAGTAAAATATAATTATAAAATGACCATGGAAAAAATAACATGAAGCTTAATGTCCCTTTTTCCAATTATAAATGTTCATATATAAATGTCAGATCTATATTGCTTATGTAAACATGGAATAATGATTAAGAAATGGTTATTTTTACAACATGAGATGTGCAAATGTTGGAATATGAAGCTTATTTGGTGAAAAAAGGCAGTTAAAACTGGATACTGAGCACCTTATGGACTAGAATCAAAAGACAATTGAAATATAGATTGATTCAATACATATTTGCATAGACAATTGGTAAATATTTACTCATAAACAGAACAGATAATTGGTAATTATTTACTCAAACGGAATAGATAATTGGTTATTATTTACTCATTAACAGACATACCTAAAGCCAAAAAAACCAAAACACACTAATGAAGATCAAAGACAATTATTCTATATATCTATCAAATAAGAAAGCTAAATGAAAAGTAAATTTCTCATAAAAGTCATTCCCGCCAATCCTTTGCTTCCCCAAGGACTAATGAAAGTCACAAACTACATTCCTGACAGCCTCGTTCACAATTAGTTTCAAAACCATAACCTGTTTACAGTCTACTAAATTAACTAAAATTTCACAACCTCCAAAGATACTTGACCCTTTTAGAAAACAAAACTGATAACATTTAGAACTGCGAAGAAATTCCTATATAACAAGAATATTCAATATATTATGTTGTTTATTCTTTTAAAGAAAAGTTTCTCTAAATGTATCAATTAGTTACACTTTATTAAGCATCTTGCAGTATCCAATCTATATTACAGTACCTATCTATTGTTATTATTTTACCTGAAATTCAGCGAGTCCTACACATACATTGCAGTATTCCAAAACACATGTATTTAGTTCATAACATTATATACTTCAGAACTTTGATTTTGAAAGAGTAAATATGTATGATTAAGATTAAGCCAATGTCAAACTTTTCAGTAGCATTTAACTATATCTAATATCTTAAAATGAACCCTTAACCAACATTTGGGATAGAAGTTTTCAACTTAACTGACTTGCCTCAAGAACTTACTAATCTCTTCTTTAAGTTCTATTTCTTATTAAATTTTCTTATTAAACTATAGAATTATAATATAAAGTGACTGTTCTGAAAGTTACAAATTTGTAGAGAAAAGTTAAATAAATGTATGAAAGTTATGTTTGAGGCAAGTCAATTTTATCAATGTTAACATATACAAATTAGGGCAGCACTTCTGATTGTTCTAAGCTTATATCATTGTCTATGTTAACTATGCTGTCTGCATGGCTTGAACCTGTGGTGGCATGCTACAGAGCTGTGGGTATGTCCCTGGTCCTGTTACTCCATTAGGTGGTGGCAGGAAAGCCTGGGCTCCATTATAAGAGCCAGGTGCAGCATAGTAGACTGGACACGAGACAGGATATGTGGGGCAAGCTTGACCTGTGGAGAGAGTAGGCATGCTATATTTAGAACCATCACCATAGTTAGTGTTGCTAGGATTAGATAAAGTATTTGGATTCCCTTGGCTTCCATCACCAGAGTTAGCGTGTGCAAGAGATTGCGGTGTATTGGTATATATATTGTGTACATTATGCGGATATACTAAACTACTATCAGCTTTACTAGAGGCTGGGTAAATCCCATAAGGAACATATTGCACTGCTGCATTCTGATTATTACTACAAGCGATAATACTTGGGTCTTGCATGACCGAATCTCCAGGAACAAAACATTTTGCCTCGGGATTGAAACCATGGCTTTCTACACTATTGACAGTGCCACTTGCTTCAGGTATTGACTGAGGCTTGTTATATTTACGGTACGGTTTTGGTGGCAAGAAAGGTATGATAATTGGTTCGCCTTCACACCTGGCCTTTTCTGCACCTAAACTATTCAACATAGACAAAAATTTAGGGGGTATATCTTTTATCGGTTTGACAAGTTTTAAATTACCATACATATAATATTTCCTTTTAGGTTTCGGTTTAGAAGGAACCTGAAACTCTGTAGTAGAACTTATACAACTTGTATTGTCAGTTTCATCAACCTTAGCAATATAATTGTCTAGTTTTTGTTCGAGTTCTACAACAGTGGTTGTAGCAGCACTACTAGTATCCTCCATTTCCTTACAACCATTACATTGAGCACTACTTGTGCTATCTGAATCACAACCAGAATCATTGCTATCTAATGAATCATCCCCAGCAGACACAGTCTGACCTTTGTTTGGGGACGTGACCGGAGACTCTGACGGTGATTTCCGTTTACTAACTGGGGAGCCTTGGGGGTAAGTTGTAGGTATGTAAGGATGATAGTGGTAAGTTTGATTTTGTCTGTTTCCATTTTGCAGAGTTTGTTCATTGGTAGGGTGTTCATTTTGTGATGAATACTGAATGGGAGGAGGAAGAGCAAACTGACCACACATATTGCCATTGAGCTGGTCCTGCGTTACCATTCCATTTGGTGGCATCATCTGGGACATCTCCACTGTTGGCCACATTGGTCCACCATGACTTATCAGTCTGTAGTTCTGAAAATCAAATAAAGAATGTCATGATTATTTTCCTATATTACAAGCCTGTTCATGTATTTTAAAGCAGCATGCCTCCAAATTTTTGTTAAATTTCATGGAAACATAGAAATTGTTTAGAGGATTACAAATGTTATCAAGTGAAAAAGTTCAAAATTTACCTAGGTTTTCCAGAGGAAATAACCTAAAACTTGCCAAAAATATGCAGAATTTCTGCTGACTATTAGCAAAGGGGTATAAATTTGGAATTGTAAATAGTAATTTCTACAATATTTTAGATAAAACATTCAGTTTTACCTGAATTGTGAATTTTATTAATTTTCTGAAACTAACAATATATACATATATTTTTAATCTATTATTAATTTTTTGAAGATTTACTTTACTCATCTGGAGGTGTGCCCCTTTAATACTGAAATATCTCATCTAATTATCTAAACTTTATTTTGTATGAAAATTAAAATAAAATAGAACCCCTTTCAAAGATATTTCATTTAGCTGGCAATCTAATCTATGTTTTTGACATCCCTTTTTTTCTGGAACAGAAGGTAATTAATCTTTCTTTACCACCAATATAAAGACAAGCTAACCTAAACTTCTAGGCAGTCTGACCTGGCTCTATATGCTGCTGGCTGATTAACTTTTAAACTTTCATGTTGTTATCCAAAAAATTGATAAGTCCAAAAAAGAGGATGGACAAATCCATTTAAAAAAAATTCTGCAGGTTTTTATACAATAATATTACAGAATAAGGGAATCTAAATATTAAACCATGTAATATGCATATTGGGACTATAAATTATCATTTTCATAGGGTAAAAGTTCAAATAGAAAAAGATTTCCCACAGATAACAACTATTTTATATTTTGAAACATCAACAACAAGCATTTATTCATATCAAAACACAGCTTTAAATGCAAGTAATTTATAATTCATTTTAAAAAAAAACATTTTGTAAATAAATAAACAACCTAAATCGAGTATAAACACTTACCAAAATAGAATTTATAGAACTTGTGCAAAATTGATGTTGTACTTATTTCAAATTCTTAAAAAATAACATTTACATCTGATTGACAAAGTTGTCCCATTTGTTTATATTAAGAAAATTCACATGGACAAATATTTTCACAAAAGTGACTCATCTACATGTAATAATAAATAAGATGACACGCATTTTCATTTCATAATTAAATCACTTAAAATTTCTGAAAGATGAAAATGGGAAAATTATTCAAATAGAAAACTTCAAACTTTTCAAAATCAACGTAGCTACTCTGGGAAACGGACACACCTTCAATTATATCTCACAATTGTTACTTTGACTATCTTTTTATATACAAAACAGCAGACAAAAACACATGTGACACAAGAATCATTATGTCACATTGTTAATGTTGAGTCTAAATAATATTCACAACAGAAATAGACACAGCATCATAATTAACAAGCACATGCCAACAAGATAAAACTGTCCTTAGAAAATGTTAATTTTTATTCATATGGAACATAAATAGCATTTCATCATTAATTGTAAAGATTTCTGACATGTTTTATTACCCAGTTGAGTATAAATATGATCTAAGTTATATTGCAAACAACCATTTATACTAACCCATTTAACATGTAAAAAAATCTTTATAATGTATTTATAATTCAGCAAAACTCTTTTTATTTAAAGTAAAATTAAAACACTTCATAAATTGGCAGCAGGTGAGTATGCTTTGCACATCATGATAATATAATGACAAAAGAGCCATTACAAATATGCAGTTTTATAAAATGATATTTATGCCAAATCTGCATTAATTATTCAATTTTTATGTATATATATATATATATATATATATATATATATATATATATATATATATATATATATATATATATATATATATTAAAATTATATATATACATACAGATAAACGTGTCAAATTTACCAATAAAACAAAATTCTCTTTAGAAAATGAAAGATTCTATAGACAACAACAAAAAGTCAAATCTAGATACAATCATATACCCAAATGTAAATTAAATACAACCATTATATAACCGTAATAAACACTGATAAATTTAATGCAACTGAATGAAATTTTCAAATGAAAATATATATGTTACAATTCTCCAAGTTAACTTTTGATTACTTATAAATGCTAAACCCCCCCCCCCCCAACAGATATATCTTGTTGGCAAGAAATTAGTGTATACTATATAAATGTAAAATAAATGTGGTCTTACCTCCACTCCTAAATTGTAGAAAAATCTCAATGTATTCATTTCTGTAAGGATAACAGATTTCCTTTAACAATATGAGTTCTTATCAAAGTGAGTTCACATCAACATACTGTATTTTATTTAAGTTTTATATAGATTCAGATCTTCTTTTGTTAACACTATATATAATGGAAACACTGAGATCAGTATATATTCAATCTCCACATGCCTTTATATACATGTATCACAGATGATTTGTATAGAAATTCAATAATTGACTTAATTAAGATGTACGGAGATAACAGATTTATCCCCCTAGGCAATTTAAAAAAGGTGACTTTTATGAAAATATCAAATAGCATTTATGAAAATGAGGTCTGAATACTTTCTTCATTTTTTAGCATACATTAGTGAAATATGGATGCTAAATATTCCTATGAAGTGTATCAATTTCATCTCATATTTATTTGGGTTAACATATTTACAAGACTACTGCTAATGCCTGTAATTTATATAAATCAAAAAACTGTTTGACATTCAAACATTCAATAAAACATTAGCTAAATTTTACTGCCACACTTAATACAAAAATTATCTCATGGGTCCTATTAATAAATATAATTTGTTAAAAAGCAGACATGTTTATGGGACTGCTGTTAATATCATACCTGTAGTCTATATAACTAAAAAAACATTCAATAAAACATTAGCTAAATTTTACTGTCACACTATAATATAAAATTATCTTGTACTAGGCACACAGTGGCATATTAACAAATTATACACAATTTGTTACTTGAAGACATTGAGTGATACTTGGCACATTAATTCAGACACAAGCAGCCACTGGAATTGAACCACTAACCTTTACTACTTGGCCATTCAGGTCCTATATAATTACATTCAATAAAACAAAAGCAGGTATAATGTAAATGAATAAAGCTTGTATAAATCTATAAGAAATAGAACAGAATAAGATCACCTCAGTAATAAAATCTAGTTAATTTAACTCCTGTAATTAAGGGGTGATGTCACTTACTCAGAAGAGTCAAGTTTGACAAGAATGCTAAGGTTAAAATGATGGTGGTGGCGTTGGTTGTTTTCACTCCAGATCACGACAGTAAGCCACATTGAATTTACCAGAGCACAGTTCAACCACCCCATTGTTCCTTGGAAAGTTGTCAAGCAGTCTACCAGTACTAGTTGCATTCACTTTCGCAAGGAAATGATATGCCTTAGATGTCTGAAATATTAATTACCTGGCAGATCCTTTCCTGTTGTATCTTGTGAAGGGAGACAATTCATATTGACATCTTTGACGGCTATGCTCTCTAGGTAAGGAACACAGACACAGGAGTATGTCTGGTTCGAGTTGGGTATAAGGGAGTTGTAAATATATGGACTTGCCACTGCCCCTTGAGGTATCATACCTGGCACTGGTGCAGCATATCTCTGTAAAACTCCTGGTGGTGACATCTGAATTATAACCAAAACATGATACTTAGAACTACCTAATGGCCTTGTTGTGAGATAAATAAGTTAGTAGTTTATTAGTTTAAATATTAGTTTATAAGTTTATTTCTTATTTCTATAAGAAACCACAAATCATTTTAAGCAAACATTGTAACAATAGGTATCTTTACTACATTTTTATTTTCTTCAAATAATAATAAAAGTTATTGCCTAAAAAAACATTTTGAATTTACATCACTTCACTGCACGTGCAAGAGTTACTCGGAAATAATGAGAGACACAGCTACCTAATGTTTACACATACCTGGTTATTAATGTTAGTCTTAGCATTGTTGACAGGAGATGTATCCATGCCAACATAGCCTGGTGAGTTGGCATTAGCCATCATATCTCCCTGATATGTATATGTTGTTTCAAAGTTATACCTGCAAAATATAAAAGAAAGACGATTTATTTCACAACTAGTCCTGAATTTCTTTCTAAACAGAAGGTAGAAAATACTTTCAGCACAGTCTTTATATCCCTGGAAAAGTTATCTTCTAATTAAAGATTCAAACCCTGCCCAGGTACCAATGTTTCTCAAAAGCCTTAAAGCTCCTTTTTTGTCCTTACTTTCGCACACAGTAAATGCAAAAGAGTAAAGACGTTATGGTAAATGTTCTACATATTAATAAATGTATGTAATTCATGAATTGAATTTAACAATGAATTTAAGCCAAAATTTTGCTATGACTATGCTAGAGAATGCCCAGTCACTTCCATTTACAATACAATGAATTAACTAACATGTGAGGCAAAAATGTGACCAAAATGGTGCTTAAAACACTAGAAACTGTGACACAGTGACATGTGCATGCACAAAGCCAGCTAACCCAGCCAGCCAGCAAATTTATCCATTCTGGCCAATCACTACAAAATTCTTGATACTGAAATCCCTTCTACTAGCAATGGAGTGTTCCAAATTTACAGAAATGCATGTCCACAGTACAAATATCGTGGGATACAGGTTATGATAACTATACTGAAGATGATACAACACTTTACCAGAAATTGTCACAGATCACTACCTTTAATTTATAAATCTAGAGGTAATATTACGTAAATAAATTTGTAAATTTTTTGGTTGTCAGACTAATAATGATGCTTTCACACAATTAATGAAGCTTGCTATAATTTTTTATATAGAGCGAAGATAATTTCAAAAGCATGAAAAGAACCAAGAATATTGGGTGTAACCCTATAAAGATGGTATCTACTCACATAAAGTAAGGTAATTTTCAAATCATTAATATAAAATATGGTATTACCTTTAAGTATTGACTTTAAAAAGGTGTATTATTTTATAGGGATATAGCTATATAATCATAAGCATGCAGTCATTTAATACAACTTAATGGCTTACTTCTAAAGCATTTCAATGTTTTATGTGATCATTGCCCTTCTCGTGTGTACTTTAATTATCAAGTTCATTTTAAGAAAATTTAATGGTCAAAAATATACTTAAGCTGAACATTTTAAATACGTAATATTTTCATAAAAGAGTAAAACATGACGGGTCATCGATTAAAGAGGCCCTTTTCACTATCTGACATCAATGTTTTAAATGTGAATGAACCAAGTAGTACCAACTGATAAAATGATGTGTTATTGCAAAGTAATATTACTTCAATAATTCAAAATTTCTTGTTATGAAATTTGGACACATCCTAAAATCCAGTGCAAAATTCGAAGAAAAACAGAATAATCAAGCAATGCCTGTTGTAATGAGTGTTAAACTATGGGTTACATAAGCTAGGCCTGTTACTAAACTCAAATCTGTACTGAAACTTGAAAAAGCATCATAAACTGATACTTAAAGCAAAATTTGGCAAAGATGAGTTATATAATTATTGAGCATTAGATGAAGGATATGACATAGCCCAAATGAGACTTTGCACCCCTATATCAGGTGTCAATGTGAAGTATCATTATCATACAAATGATCTAAAATATCAGGACATATATGAAGGCATTACTTATTTATAGCCCCAGTGACCTTAACCCATTCAATTTTAAAGCCAACCATAGTGTAAAGGTCATGTATGGTACCTTATATTTTTGCTATCTCTTGATTGTACAATTATTGTTTATAGTGTGGTTATAGTGTGGTTAAAATGATTATACAAAATACCCAGTATGAAAGAAATTTGTTCAACAATTTTATTGGAAGCGAGTAGGGCATGTGTAAAACCATTGTCAAACCAACTACAAAGAGCTTAAGAATATTTTTTTCTGAAACATTTTATTCTGTTTATGTACAATAATTATGTATATTAAATTACATTCTATGCAACAAATATTTCAAGAAAACACCATTATGTTATGAAAACAACGTAATTTGACTGTTTTTATTTCAAATTATTTCATCAGATATAACTGTATACACTTTAATATCTATTATTTAGTCACATGCTTTAAAGGGTATAAATCTATATCTTATGAAATATTTTTATAAAATAATTTTGGTTCCATTATTTTATGGTTGATTCTGAAAAAGTTGTAACATAGACTGTCTCCGTTATTTAACCCACATGAATAATGTATCATGTAAACAGAATAAAATGTGCTAGACCAAAATATTATTTTGCTATTTAAGTAGGGTTTCATCTGCTTTTAAGGTGATAAACTACCATTTTAGACTTCATACAAGCATTCATTTTTAAAATTCAAACAATAAAATTTGTAGAAGATATATAGCTTTATACACTTTAAGGAACAAGATTGGAAGGACGGACAGGATGACTGTATTCTCCCCCTGACCTTGTCTCAACTTTTCAAGGAGCAAAATAAGACCAGAATGTACATACCCTTGAAAAGCAGTGGATGTATAATTGACTTCTTGTTGAACAGGTAACCTTTGGTGGTAGATAGGGTACTTTATTGTTGTATTCTCGTATGTGTTACTTCCAGAACCAGTCGAGGAAATTGGCATATCCTGAAAATATTCATAAAATCATTCTTTATTTGCATAGTATGATTAGAATATCTTAACTTAATATACTTTATTCATGATGACCTTAAAAATAAGGCATCTTTATTTTTTATGTTTTGCTTTGTTTGTTTCATTTTATGCCTTTTTCCAACAGCGTATTTCAGTCATTTAGGCGGGTAGTTTCCTAACCATTGTTCCTGGAGAGTTACATCAGCTCCTCAGCTCCATCACTACATTTTTTATCATACCAATAAAAATATTTACAACTGAATAAGCTCTAACCCCGCTGAATTTATAAAACTGGTTTGTCCTGCATTGAATTCAGATCCGTGTATTTCAATTTTAAGGGATTTCAAGTTCCAGCATAAAGTCTGCTCAGATTGAATAATGTGCCGAGTAGCTTGTAGCCTCAATACTTGTAGGGACAGTCAATTATTTATACTATAAGCATCCCAAAAAAGTACAAAAAACAGCGTATAAACTTATGCATTAATAATTGTGACACTGCACTTTTACACATAATATATAATGTATCCCTGAACACAAACAACTTCAGTCACAGTATTTATTTTAAGCAACAGTTGTAGCATCTTCGCCTGTTCACACCATTACCCATCAAAATGTTATAGTTTATCAAATAACCTTTATCATCCAAATCCTGTAACCACATACCCATCATAAAAGTTAAATTTTTTCAACCATTAAATTTTCACAATAATTAACAAATTAAATTTAATGTAAGAAAAATTACTCACCACAAAAATAAAGTCTATATATTAATTTCTATTTCCAACCTAATTGATCCATTAATCACTTTTTTATTTTTACAACCATCATTTGAAAGATATAATATGTTGTTATTATTCTTATTACTTTAATTGTCCTTTTTATATACATGTAGCAAGATCTAAAATGATGATAACAATTGACCAATAATGAACATTTAGTAACACCCCGAAGGTGTTAGTAGACAAAATGTGTACTGCCTGGGAGGAGTTTATAATTTTGAACTTCAAATTGGATTTTTACTATAACTATTTCTTAAAAGGGAAAAAAAAAATTGGACTGTTTTAAGTGTAAAATAACTCTTATAGGTAATGAAGTATATATCTATAGTAACTATAAATATTCACAAATCAAGTGAACTTTTGAACATTTATGCAAAATCATTTAAATGACAGAGTTTACAATTTTCTGCATCATCTAAGAATAAGTATTCCTAGAATTCCTTTTTATAGAGCAGATTCTTGGTCCACTTGAATTGTGATCCACTAAAAAGTTTTCAGATGAGAGTCCTTTCAAATTAAAGTAGAATCAGAGCAGATCATAATTATGCCCTAAAACTGAACTTAATGGTAGAAGTATAGATATGTTACCAACACACTCTTAATGTTAAGTATGAAGGTTCTATTAAAGTGTAATGCACCAGTAAATAATCAAAGCACAGAAGGCGCTGAATTTGTTTGGGTCTCAGAATGTCAGAAAGGTGAAGGTTGTGAGATTATAAACCAATTTGTTTTTGTATAGTGCCACCAATGCTTTCCAGTGTTTTAGCTGTAGTAAATTGGCTATAAGACTAATTGCAACACTGATAGTCAATGCAATGTTTATTTGACTTAAATGATTTAAAAACAAAATGAGTTATCTCAACTGGGATTTGAACTCCAGACCTCTTGATTTATAAGCGAGCGTGCAAACCCCTCGGCCACGGTGAAGTTATATGTTAACAGCCTGAAGAAAACCATATTATTCTAAATTAGCGTTTGTAAAAACTCTTATTATTTCAACGCTAAACCTGTTGTTTAACACAGATGTAAATAATCATGGAGCTTACTGTAAGCATGTAACTATATCTATTAAGAATGAAACAATATTAGAAATCTTCGACCATTCGGGAACTATTTTGCTTGAAAATTAATGCATTAGTGTACATACGAGGGGTGATCCAAAAATTTGTGGACAATGTGTGTATCTCCATAACGTGACGTCCTACCGAGGTGAACTCTTTGGATATTATTAATCAATGCTTTTTTAATTAATTGACCAAATTTTAAAACACCAATTGCATTTTTTATCTATGTATGACAACATCAAAACATTAAGTATCAAAATCGCGGCGCAGTTTACTTTTTCTCTGTTATGTAAACGTTTTCATCTCATTTAAATACATGTAAAACCTGAGCAAACAAAGAAAAGTGCGGGAAACGTTATAATAACGTTGTTCGTGTGTGTATGACGTCACTCTGTCAGTATCAAAAGACATTTTGAAGTTGCGGTTATTTTACGCTCGTGCTTTAAAGAACATGTGCTAAAAATAGCTTTATCAAAAATGGACGTCACGGATCCAGCAGAACTTCGGACAGTTATAAATCTTGGAAAGACACCCGGCGAGACAAAAACAATGATCGAAAGTGTGACAAATAAACCATAAGTGTGTTGTTCTCTAGCTATAAGTGGCATCGCCGATTTTCGGATGGAAGGGAAAGTGTTGGGGATGATTCGCGGACTGGTCGACCTGTCGAGGTAAGAGACAAAGAAACTGTTGAAAGTGTTGACAATCTGGACGAGTTGAGAGGAGCCACCCAATGCATACTGTCATATTTCAGCCAGGAATGGTATGCGAGTACATTTAGAGACTGGGTCCGCCGCCATGAAAAATGTGTGCGGGTTAAAAGGGAATACTTTGAAAAGTTATAAGGCAAAACGGTAACGTAGATTACTTCCTATGATAGCATAACGTCGTTTGTGACGTCATGAGCTGCGTCGCGTTTTGTTATGTCTATGTGTATAAACTGGTGCAGAATCGTTAATTCTTGTACAATCTTTACAATATTTTGAGAATTTGCCGACATATGCTCACTTAATAAAATACTAGAATTTCATGCAATTTGCTTTAATACTTTTTGTTTTATGCAGGGTGTCCACGAATTTTTGGATCACCCCTCGTATAAAGGGAAGTAACCGCTTCAAAAAAGTGTACTACTTTAGGCATTTGCAATTAACAGTATTAGGCTCTGAAATTTCGCTACCATTATTTGTTTGGTCTGACGACCCAAACATATCAAACCAAAGTAACCAAGTTTTACCCTGCCCTGTCAGAATGAAGTGGTGGTATTGTTTTGATGCTAAAGCAACCTTGGATATGCTCAACTCAATGACAATGACAAAAGATTTATTTGATTTTGGCCTCCGGCCCATATCAACAAAACATATACATTACAAGCATGACAAGATGTAGTGCCAGTGTACTATATAGATCAATTACAATTTATAACTACTAATATAAATGTATATAAAGTGACAGAAATAATTTTTTTTTAACATATATGTATAGTATTTACCAACCAGAATGTGTAGATACATAAATTTTAAATTACATATTTAAACAATATCATTTAGCAACATTTTACCTTCTTGAAAAGCACAATATGCAAACACAGCCAATCTCATTATAATATCTACATTTTTCGATGACATCAAAATATTGAACTTATTAATATTAGGGGACTGATAGAATTTAGATGGGATATATTTCTCTCTAAAAGAGGTTAATCTGGGACATTTTAAAACAAAATGAAATTCAGTTTCAATTTCAGTATTACAAAGTTTGCATATTCTTTGATTTCTTTCAGTGTTAGAATACCTCCCTCTTTATATTTCTAAGTCATGTGAAGAGGTCCTTAATTTACCCAATGCATTTCTAAATTTTTTAATTGTTACACAATCCAGATATATTTCATGTTCAAAAGTTAACTTATAATTTGCATACAATGACAGTTTAGAACTATTTCCCACATCAGAATGCCAAAGTTGAAGATACTGATCCTTAAGTCTAAGAGTAAATTGATGAAGGAATAACTTTTCATTAGGTACACTCTGATCAAACCAAATATGCCCAAATCCATTTCTCATAAGTAAATTTTTAACATATGTAACCCAATTATTTTGTCCATAGTTATCAAAACATTTCATCATATTGTATGCTTTTTTTACATATCTTTGTTCATCCATTTTTATGATTCTACACCAATATTTAATAACTCTTTTAGCAGTTGTAATAAACATTGGATATCTGCCACAATCCCCCAAAATAGCTATATTAATTGTTTTTTGACTAAGGCACATATATCTTTTACATGCATAATTTTGAATGGAATCAGTGAATTTTTGCTCACTAGCACCCCAAATCTCGCTCCCATATAACAAAATTGGACTGATTTTTGTATCAAATATTTCAAAAAATACATGTTTAGGAAGTTGACCATACTCATACAATTTATTTAGAATAGATATAAGAACTCGTTTAGCTTTGATACTTTGGTCCTGTGCCATAATAGGAAAAGACAGTTTGCTTGTGAAAGTGTTGCCTACATATGAAAACTTTGATACAGTCTCTAATCTGTTATCATCAAAAAACCACTTTTCATGCATACTTAGTTTCCCCCCTTTTTTAAAAACCATAACCTTAGTTTTGCTAGGATTAACCTTGACAAAGTGTTGATCACAAAATTGTTTTAACAAATCAAGCAATTTCTGGAGTCCATTAACAGTGTCTGAAGTCAGAGCTAAATCATCTGCAAATAATAATGTCAATATTTCTGTAACATCTGGAAACAACTGAATACCTTTTAGCTGACAATTTTCTATTTCCTTTACAAATTCATTAATAAAAATGACAAAAAGTATTGGGGAAGCTAAGCAACCCTGTTTTAAGCCTATATGACAGTCAAAATACTCTGTTAAACCATCACAGTCAAGGGTGAAAGAAATAGCAGTTAAGTTACAATTAACTGAAAGAAAGGGCAGTGGTTACAATTGATTGTTGCCTAAGTGTGAAAGGAAAGATAGTGGCTACGAGTAACGGTTACAATTGACTGCAGTAAAAGGCAGTAATACAAATGACTAATTTTCAAGTATAAAGGGACTAGCAACCAAAAATTCAACCTAGGTTGACACTCCTTAAAATGTATTAATATTATCATCATGTACATAAATATGCTGAA